TCATTCCTTGGTATTGCTGAGTAAAATTCAATTGTATGAATATACCACAGCTTGTTCTTCCATCCTTTTATTGGAGGACACATGGGGTTTGAGGCTACTATAAGTAAATCAACTATGTACATTCATATACATATGTTTTCATAAACATATGTTTACTCTCTCAGGTAAATAAATAGGGATAGAATTTTTAAGTCATGTTTAGTTTTATGAAAACGACAGATCTTTTTTTCAAAATGATTGCATCATTTTGCACACTCACTATATTGGAGTTTTGCCTGCATGATATCCTTGCCAACTACTGTACTTACTGGTCTTTTTCATTTCAGTCATTCTGATGAATGTATATTGGATAACCTTTGATCAAGTAGTAAAGAAACTAAAAAGTCAGCTCCAAATTGGTTTTACTTTTTACAATGAACATGCTCATCATGTTAAAAAATGATAATTAGAATGTTTTTATTTTTATCAAAGTAATAACTATACATCTTTTTTTTTTATATCACAGAGTTTTCATGAAAAAACAGTAGTCCCCTTTTCCACCCCATCCCCACCTTAGTTCTTTTCCTCAGAGGTAACCACCCTCAACATTTTTAAGCTGTTTTCCTTATTTACTACCTTATAGTTTATATTACTGTTTCTTGATTTATCTACTTCTGACACAATCTATTAGCTTTCTGACATGGTATATGAGAACATGTTATTGTTTTTAAGTGCCATCGAGTCAGTTCTGACTCATAGTGACCCTGTAAAGGGTTTCCAAAAAGCAGTTGGTGGGTGTGAATCCCCAGCCTTGTTGTTGACTGTCCAGTGCTTATCCTACAGCGCCATACCAGGACTCCATATGAGAACACAGCTCTCCCATTTATTCCTCTGCCAACACCAGGATATCACAAAGTATCACTATTACATTATTCTGACTATGGAAATACACCTAGAAAAGGAGAAGCTGTGATCATCCATCTTTTGTTGTACAAGTCTTTCTTTTCATGGCATTAATTATTACCTCATCTCTTCATTTGCCTGTTTTGCTGTGTTTCATATGTTTTCATTTCTCTCCCACATGTCTGTATGCTCAAATACATCAACTTGTTTTCTTTGTTATAAACCTCCAGACTTCTTTCTGTTCTCAATTGGTTACTGTCTAGGCCTGCTGAGCAATTGAAACTTCAACTGATGTCCCTTACTTAACTCTCCATATCATTCTTTCTGGGTTCAGTCCCTAATTTTGTTGTAACACAAACTTAAGTATCTGTGGGCAGGAATTAAATTTTTTGAGACCTAAAACATATGAAAATGTCTATTCTACTCATTACTTGATAATAGTTTGGCTGGGTATGAAAGTCTAACTGGAGAATAATGTTTTCATAATTTTGAAAGTATAGTTCCACTGAGTTCTAGAATTTATTATTGCTGTTCAGAAATGTGATACCATTCTTTGTCCTTAACCTTTATATTTTGAATGTTATTTGATATTGGGGTTATTTAGAAATTTTTCTTTTCTTTTCTTTTACTCTGTGTGTTCTGAAATTTCATGGTGATACAGGTTTTTTTCCTTATTTACTGTACCAGTTACCTGATAGGCTTTGGTTTTGGAATTTTATGTTCTAGAAAGTTTTTTTTTTTCTTTAATCAGTACTTCTCTCACCTATTTTTTTTAAAGAAGTACCTATTATTGACATGTTTAATCTCTTAGACTATTCTCTAATCTTCTTACCTGTTTTTATTCCCGTTTTCTTCTCTTAATTTTTTTCTTAGTCTTGGAGATTTTATCTTCAAACTCTTCTGTTACATTTTATACTAAAACTCTTATTTGTTTTAATGTTTTATGATTATTGGTATTTATAGCATCCTATTCTTGCTTCTTGGCTACAAAATCTTCTTGAGCATATTAATTGTAATTGGTGTGAAGTCTTTCTTCTTTTCTCAGAGTTCTTTGTTTGCTTATATGTTTGTTGACTTGTTTGTTTGTTGTAAACTTTTTCTTTTGTGTTAGAGGTGTTCCTTAAAAATCTCTGATAAAACTGAGCTGTCTATTCATATTGTTATTGTTAAGTGCCTTTGAATCTGTTCCAAGTTAGGGTTTCCAAGGAGTAGCTGGTGGGTTTGAACTGCCAACCTTGCGGTTAGTAGTCCAGTGCTTATCCTACAGTACCACATCAGATACACTAAAAAATTGATGGAAAGATTGTATGTATTAGTGGGGTTTGTTTACCATGGAACATCAAATTTCATTCTCTTGTGGAATTTTTCTTAGGTCATCCTATTTTCCCAGAGAATTCAAGTCTCCTCCTATTAACACATAGGCCTGGCTCCAGATATTCTGGAACACAGGCATGAAATGCTGATGAGTCTCAAAATCATTGCCCCATCTCCACTGGACCAGATTGCTTGGTCCTCTTTGTCTCCCCAGAGAATAAGCCTTCAAGTTGCTCCCATGATGGACAAGGTGATAGGAGGCAGGTAGTTGCCTGACTGCTTGGGCAGGAAATACAGTCCAGTATAGAGGTGCTAATTTTTCTAAATCTATACTTTGAATCAATCCCTTTCTTTTCAGCCCTTTACTGTCTGTAGTAACTTATGCCTGCAAGTACTGAACCATTCCGTGTCTAACAGGTCAAACAGACTCCTTGTTAGCTTCTACCTCTCCTAAAGCCCAGGTGCTGGCTTTCTCTCTCTGCTAAGTCATCTACTAAGCAATTTTCATTTTCTAAAAATTTGTTGAAGTCTCTCCACTACTGTGGTCCTCTTTCTTGGTTTCTTGGGTCTTATAGATTGATACCTTTTCAATTTATTTTTATTTTAGTGGGATTTTTGAGATTGACTTGCCAGATATAGCCAGGAGAATCGTTCTTAAAAGATATATGTTTTTTGACACTTTAAATAATTGAGAACATGCTCCAATTTGATTTGAAAGGTTTTGTGTTTTTCATTTGTTTGTTGTTTATTTGTTTTTAGTATACATGGGAGAAAGTGTGATTCTTTGGACAACATATTTAAAATTGCCACATTCCAATTTTACTTACCAATTGTCAAAGTTACATATCATTGGAATTAGTTTTCAGAAATGCTTAGTGGCCTAGACTTAGGGTCATCTGCATCTTTTTACCTCTCTGAGAGCTATCATTAGCGTTCACAAAGTTGCTCAGTTTAGGAATTTTCAATACTGTGGATTTGGATTTCTCCATGAAGTCATCTCACCTCTATGAAAACTGGGCCCATGAACTTGGCTTCTTCATTAGTGCCCTACCCCAACCAGATAAATTAACTGGATCCACTAGGATGACCTAAGACTTTGAACCTAACATTTCAGTCTGATGCAATATCTTGACTAAAGTAATTCATCAAGCATGTTTTTTTTTTTTTTTTCTTGTGTATGATTCAGAATAGCATTTTAATTTTTCTTCTAGAATTGGAGCATTCATGTCCTTATAACTGATCTCATTTCCAAATTTAATTTGTATAATGTTTGATTTAATTGGCTTTATAACCGTAACATAAATAGAGCCCAGCAAATTGAACATACTCCTAGAGAGCAACCCTACTTGCTAAATAAGAAAATAGAACAGGTTTCTAAATCTGCTTCCCAAGACCTTGGTACTTGGTGATGAGATACTGCAGTTCGTCTTAGGGGATCTACTAATTGTATCCAGGCTTTTGCCTCAGGAGCATGAGTTGAATGTTGGCCTCATTTGTAATTGGACTCTTATGACTATCTGGCAGCTTCTGTGACATATTAGTGGCCTTGGCCCAGTTTCTAATTGGCATGTACCAGCATCAAATTGGCATAGCCAAATCTGAAAGGCAGCTTAGCTCTCTAAATAAGAAATAAGGTCATAATACCTTTCTTTTCTTTAGGTATGATGCAATTGCTCTTTATAAGTTTTTTTTGTTTTAATTTAGAAAAGCCTAAAATTTCAAGATCCCCTGTTAACTTTAATCCTGGATCTATAGAGTCTACTTCTAACTAAAACAGGAATCTAGAAACTGTTGGTCCTCGCCCCATGTCTTGAAGAAATTATGTAGCGTTATGTCTCTCTCTGGCATCAGGCCATAGTCATTCTTAATCTGCAGGCTGTCTGCAAGCTCTAGTAGAAAGATTCATCTGTAATCATTTTAAACAGAGCCCGTGGAGACAAGATTGCTTTCGTTAGTAGCTCACCAGCTTCAACTGAGAAGTCTCTACTTGGAATGAAAACACAATCAAGGGAAAACTCAGAATGTTTTCACTTTACATTTTATATCTTACTTGGCAACTTGTTTAAAGATGTTGCATAAAAGGTTCAGCACAGGAAACATTTTATATTCTTGCTTATGATTAATAAATATGGAATCTGAGACATCCTATTTTATAAGTCAAGATCTTCGTCCAAATTTCCTGTTTTCCTACATATATAAAAAAAGCAAAGAATAACACTCAGAGTAAAAATAGCACTAACCTATATGGTTACTCAGGGGTCAAGGCAACAGACAAAATAGATTATTTTGGGTGCTTTGAACCAAGACCATTAGCAAAAACATTCCATTTGTAGTCTCTATAGATGAGGCTGTTTTGAAAATATATACACAAGTGAATGTATCCTACTTTAGAATTTTTATGCTTAATGAAAAGAGTATAGAAATGGATAATACAAAATAAAAAAAATTTTTTAAGTGACATGAAATATAGCATGACTATGCAAAATTCCCAGAAATCCCCACCACTGTAGTCAATCTGTCTTAATCCTAATCACATCTATTTCTGCCTGCATTTTATACAACTAAGGACTGTCTTCAATCCAGAATACTCTGCACATACACACTCACTCGCTCATTTTGACCTTTTTTCAAAGATTTTCACATCTTAAATCATCTGCACTTTCTGACTTTGTCTTGTCTGTAGATGTTACCAAGAGACTCTGAAGGATAGATACATCCATAACAAAAGTGCTTAGGAATTTTTACTATTAGTTGACATCTCATCACACTAAGATGAAAGTTTTCTTATTTGCATTTCTTTATAGCCTAAAGAATGTTTCTTTGTACAACCAAAGGAAACAAAAGAGGAGGCCAAGAAGACCAGGAAGAGGAAAAAGGTACTAATAATTTCTCACAAATGATTTCTTCCACATGATTTTCATCACACATGTGTATGTTGTACTTTGACACGGTAATTATTCTAATCCTCACTTTACAGATGCACAAATTGTACGGTTCAGCAAGGTGGAGTAACTTTTCTAAGGTCATCAACAAAAAGTGTTTCTGCTGGAGCGAAAAAGAATTTTATCTGACTCCTGTTTCAGTCTGCTGAAACACTCTGTGTTTTCACTGTAGATAAAAGTCAGACATGAGTTTCTAATTCTCAAGAGGGCCTACAGCCATCCTGCTTGCTGGTCCCTCTAACTCTGTATGAGATGGAGTACAACCATTATGGATCAGATTTCCAAGAAAAGAAATTTACCATCCTTCCTTTTCCACCCATCCCAGTCATTAAGACCTTATACATTCAAGTATTAAAGAAAATAACGTAATAAGCAGATGAAGGCAGTGTAAGCATAAAGCATTTCTGACTCTAATTTGTAACTATAATTTAAGTCAAAATGTTCCCCTCCTCTTTTAAAACTTGCTTGCGAGCATAGGGAAGACTCTGTTGCTCCTATACAAATTTTCTTATTTCACAGCCTTGGAGAAAGAATGGATAGCTTTGACCTTCAACCACAGTTGTGAAAACAGCGGTGTAATTCTCTCCTTGCCAAGAAGGGTATACGCTGAAGTCAGCAGAGGAAATATGATTGGGATTAGAGGGAAGAAGATGGACTCAACCCAATTACTTAACAGCAAGCTTTTAGAAAACTAAGAGTATATGTGCATGTGTTTTCTTTTCTCGAAAATGGCCAAATAGGAAGACGAGAGATGCCAAATTGGCTGAGGTTTGGCAAGTCCTTAAAGAAGTTACTTTAACTTCTCTTTGATAGTTTGTACACTAATGGCCTTCAGGAGTGTTAACTTCTTAGTGGCTCAAGGTCAGAACTCTCGTTAGATGGTTTAGCCTTGGCTGAGGTCACACTAAAATGTGCCCACAGATGACATATTTTTTAAAGTTAATTCATTTGACAAAACCTTGACAATTCTTGGCAGTGAAATAGAAATGAGGATATTGTGGAAGGAGGGGGCAAAAGCTGGGGGAAGAGGAGGGGAAAACGGGTCCTTTTGGATCTTTTGTGAAGGAAGGAAGTGAGAAGGGAAGTTTATGCTGAAAAGTAAAAGAACAATAGTGTATTCCTACATTGCAGGCATTCAGTAAGTGCTCCACAAATGAGCCAAAAATTAAAATAGATGTTGAAAATTATTACCTATGGTATCTGTTCTACTTTCCATAAACCACTTTAAGACTGTCAGTCTCCCAAGACTTGAAAAATGTAAGTCACTTCTATGCTCAAATTTCTCCTGCAAATTTTACTGTGATCCCAGAAATCTAAACTGAGACTCAGCCCCTTAAAAACAAAGTGAGGCAAGAAATCCACAAAATTCACTCTACCAAAAGTACAAATCATCCAGACCTTAAGGAGACCTTAGATAAAATTTCCCATATCAACAAGATTTCTTGATTTTTAACAGAAAATAATATCCTATTTTAGAGACTCCTACAAGAATTTCAGTTCTCCTAGAAGTTATAGGACCAAGCTAGATCTTTAGAATTCACTAGTCTTAAAAACAATAGTTGTGTCTCCAGGAAGTATCTATTATATTTTCTCAGGCCTATTTACTAGAACTCACATTGGCTTTCAACTATTGCCAAAAGCTATTTGCAGTTTAAATCAATCTGTCTTAAGACAAATCCCATTCTAAAATCTGTTTCCTTTTTTTCTTCTTTCATATCTCAGAAGAAAATTACTGATGTTCTTGCAAAATCAGAACCCAAACCAGGTACCCCTGAAGACCTACAGAAGCTGATGAAGGACTATTACAGCAGCAACCGCTCAGTGATTGAGTTAGAAGAACTGAAGCTACCAGGTAGGACCAGGCTTCTTCTCCTCCCTGGCTGTTCGGAGAGTAGTCATCTAGGGGGCCAATTGTTCATTGAAAGTGGCTGTTTGACGATAAAGAGTAAAGCAGGTCTACTTTCTTTACTGTTTGTTATAGTTACGTGTCTTAGCCATAAATGAATGTATTTTCCATGTGCTAATATTCCTTTCCCTAACCTAATAGAATCCCTAATGAGGATAGAAACCAAGTGAAAATAAAGACAGAACACATATTTAAAGGTATAGCTATGAAATAACGATTTACTCATTCCTTATAGACAAGACTTTATCCTTAATAAGCATCTTAGTTTTGTTGTTGTTTTTAATCACGAGGTTCTGGTCCTGGTTTTGTTCTTAGGGTAGTATTTTTGATCCCAGCCCAGTCTGGTGTGGCATTTTGGGATAATGCACTGGACTCAAGGTCAGTTTGAACTGCAAGGCTGGCGGTTCAAGTTCACCAGCTGGCCCTCAGAAATCCTATACAGGTTGCTATGGGTTGAAACCAACTTGACAGCACTTAATAACAACAACAACAACATCAACATCTAAAGGTAGAATTCCTGGTGTGGCACTGTAAGATAAGCACTGGACTGCTAACCGAAAATTTAGCAGTTCGAATTCACCAGCGGCTACGTGAAAACCCTGACAGAATCACTGAGTCAGAACTGACTCGATGGCACTTAACAACAACAATCTAAAGGTAGGGACAAAAGTCTGTCTTGTTAGCTAGACTGTCACTTCCTACAGATGATTCTTATACATGCTAGAATTTGAAAACTACTGCCTGCAAGTATGTATAATTAAGCTAAAGAATATTGTATTTAATACTTATAAGAAAATACTTCTAAATATTTGTAAAACTTACAAGAAAAGCAATGTTGCCATAAAATAAAACTACAAAAAGTTTGAGTGCCACTGCTTTAAATGAACCATTTATAGATTGTTAGGGATATCCCATCCGGCCTTTAGAAAAAGTCAAGGGTAATTTGATTTCTGTTTCCATTACAACTGTATGCTTTCTGGAAGCCTGAGAAGCTGAAAAACAATCTGTTCCCTCAGCTTTCATTAATCCCTTTATGATGTGCTTTTTAAAAACACACACACACACTGGATTTAGAGACAGGAGTGCCCTGTCTGTTTCTTTTCCAAGAAGAATACCCTTTAGGGAAATGAAGGAGTGCATTTCCACATGAATGAGATCTGAAGTTTTAGACTTACTGAGCCCAGACTGCTGGAAGAGCAGTTACAAACACCCGTCTCAACACACCAGTTCCTTTGGAGGAGAGGTATACCCTAACTACTCTATCTCAGGAATCAAATGTAATAGCAAAATCTCTTTTCAAACTGTAACATGATTCAGTGGTCAGTTTTTCCTTCTAATTTTTTGTGAGACTTTACTTTCCACTTAAAGTAAAAATCTGAGATAGTGAAACCACTGTTGTTTGTGGCCATGTAATTGATTCCAAATCCTGGCAACCCCATATGTGCAGCATTGAACTGCGCCATAGGATTTTCAAGGCTGTGACCTTTCAGAAGCAGCCAGGCTTCTCTTTCAGAGTGTCTCTGGATGGGTTTGAACTGCCAATCTTTTGGCTTGTAATCAAGCACTGAACTGTTTGAGCCAGGGAACACCATTATTCTGTAATCTCATGGAACATCATAAATGACTGTTGCCTCTAGAATTGTAGAGTCAAAAGTCAGAAGAAAATTTTAAGACATCATTTCAGTTCCATAGTGAGTCCATGTTATATTACAATTCATTAGTTCATTAGTCAAGAACAGTGTGGTCATGAGTTAGTGTGGGGAAGAAGAAAAGTATCTTAGAAATATTCATAAACAAGTATGTTTGAACATTCTTAGACATCATAGAAATGTTTAAGAGAAAGACCCAGTCACTACACTGAAGAGCCCAAGGACAGAGAGGAAGACCAGGTTAGAGAAAGGGAAGTAGATACCATTAATTACCTGAAACAGACTTCAGAAGGGTGGATATAAATAATGAAATATTGTGCCTGTTTAGTTTGCCGACTGTCTAACTTGGTTTTTGTTTGAGGTTGTTTGTTCTTTAGGGCAGGAACATGTCTTTTCAATTAATATTGTGCACTGTACATTGTTAATGTCTTACACATGGGTGCTTAATTAGGGTTTTGATGCAGAAGTTGCTTGGGGCTAATTACTCTCAAAGAGCTCTAGTGTGGTTTTGATCAGTGATTCCTAAATACCCATAGACTAGCTGCAATTGAATGACCAAGGAACTTCTTTAAAAAAAAAAAAAAATTCCCTGGGCCATCCTAAAGTATTCTGTCTCATTACTTGCTACACTTTAGAAAACATTCTCTAGGATTGGGAAATTACAGTTTAAAAGTCCATCAAAGTCTCCACAAAGTGGAGGAGGCAACATCTTTGAAGTTACTTACATAATAATGTAAGTTGTATGTGCTAGGTCACAATAGGAATAGTAAAGGTTTACTCCATAGCACTCTGCTACGTTTATAGGTGTACTTTTTCCTGAAGCAAGAATCAGGATGATAACTATGCTGCTGTTTTTGTTTCCACATACAGAGTTAATCTACTACATGGTTGCTAGATCATAATCACTGTTGGTCAGGGTGGGCCTCTATGCTTTATTGTAACGTGTTATGCTGTGTTGTGTTTTGTTTTATTATTCTCATTCTTTCCCAGTCCACATTTTCTTTTATCCAAAGGCATTTGCTCGAATTTGTTGATATATGTTTTGAAACCTATATGTAGCCTTATAAAATATGTCATATTGTTGTATAATGTTTTAAATTTATCTAAGTGATTTGTGTTGAAGTTCTCATTCTGTTTCTTTCCTCACTTTTTTCAAGCTCTGTCTGTATGGTGATGCTGATGCTTTATATACACCTAGCTCATTGCTTCTATGGGTTGCATAGTATTCACTGTTTTCATCTACCACAGCCTACTCACCCATTTTCCCAGATATATACACTAGTTTACTTCCAGCTCCCCACCATCACAAGTCATGCTGAATGAATCTCCTTGCATGCGTTCCTTTAGAGACCACACAAGAATTTCTTTGCATAATAAAATTACTGCATTATAGGGTAGATACAGAGTCCTGGCGTGGCATTGTAAGATAAACACTGGACTGCAAGGTCGATTTAAATCGCAAGGTTGGCTGTTCCAACTCACCAGCCGCTGTTCAGAAACCCTACCCAAGGTTGCTATGAGTCAGAACCAACTCGACAGCATTTAACAACAGCAACAACAAGGTTGGATACATTTAATTCTACTAAATACTTTGCAAAATAATTAGAACAGTTTACACTTCCACCTACAGTTTACAAGAGTTCCCACCACCACTCGGCATTCCCAACAATACTTGGTGTTAAGCATTTTTCCAGTGCTCCTCGGAAACCCTATACAGTTTCGCTATGGGTCGGAACTAACTTGACTGGCACTTAACAACAGCAATAACATCCTAAAAGAAGTTCTGTGGACTGATAACCAACAAGAACAGACAAAATGAATGTATAATGTGTTGTCACCTGTTTTAATTTGCATTTCTGTGATAACACAACTGTTAGCATCTCTTAATAGATTTACTTCAAAGATTTAAGCTTTGCCTTTGTATATTCTCTAGTCCATGGATTTGGAAAATCAAGATCTTTTGTTAGTCCGCTGAATGATGTAACAAGCTTTTCTTTCACTACTCTAAGGAATTATGGGCAGCTCAGTGGACAGTTATACATTTCTTTCAAAATACTAAACAATACATCAAAATAAATAAACTTTTCTGAATGTGTCCCTTTAACATTCAATATTATTAAATTTCAGAGTTCTTTTCTTACATAATCAATGTTGCCTCAAACCATCAATCATAAATAAAAATATCAAAAATGAATTATTCAAAATCATTTCACTAATGTTTTAAAAACTTGACTAAAAATACATCATTCATATGTAATCTATTTTAATACTGTATTTGTTACAAAATTCTCAACAAAACCTGTTTCTCCTATTTCTAGACTCCTGTTTCCTCAAAGCCAATGACTTAACTCACAGTCTCTCATCCTACCTGAAGGAAAGTAAGTAAACACTAATTTAAAAAAATTTTTTTTCACCACTTGCTATTATTCTATTTTTAAAAAAAGGTCTGTTTCTTTAAAAATTTAAGACAACATTTAAAATCAGAAGTTTACATTTGAAATGGATTCTAAATGAAAACTTTTTAAAGTCCATCTTGATATTAATTTTTATCTATATAAATTTATTCTGGTTTTGCACTGGGTTTGGAAATTTGGTCTTTGGTCTCATGTTTGGTATTTAACACATTAGAAGAAGCATTGGTCTTAGGAATCCAGAGAGTAATACTTTAGTCACAGATCCTTCACGGATTTGCTCTTTGACCTAAGACAAGTCACTGAGTACTCCCTGGGGCTTGATTTTCTTTTTTAAATATGAAAGATAAGGAAGTTGAACCATGTAATCTGGATTCCTGTTTTGATATTCTGAAATTCTTTTCACATACTCAAAGCTCAAACCATGGCTATTTAGTACTTAAAACAACCTGATTTTTTTCAGTGCATGTTAATGATTAGTGTTGTTGTTGTATTCCACTGAGAACCTGTGTAAGGGTTTCTAAGAGCAGCTTAATGGGCTTGAACTGTTGACATTGCAGTTAGCAATCTAATACGCATCTTACAGTACCAAACCAAGGCCCAATTATTAGTGTAGCTAGGAATAACTAGATAATTCTAGTTATAGTTTGTTGCTGTTAATTGCCAATGAGTTGGTTTTATCTCATAGTAACCCTGTATAGGGTCTCTGAGGAGTGGCTTGGTAGGTAGATGTAGAAATTTCACATTCTTATTTCAAATTCTCAACAGTTTGAACAATATCCAATTTGAGTTTATATACCAGTTCCACCAGTTAATAAGCTGGTACACTTAACATTTCCCAACCTTAACATTTTTCAGCAAATGTAAATGTAGATGATAATAGAATCAGCCTCCAGATATTATGAGGACTAGAAAAGGTCATGCATGTAAAATGCTTAACACAATGTCAGTACTTAATGTTTGCTATTATTTAAATGTCTGTTCATTTTAGATCTTATTCTGAATGCCTCTTTAACAGTTAACATTATTAAATCAGAGTTCTTTTCCTTTGTAATCAACGTTGCCTCCAAGTATCAAACATAAATATACCAAAAACTAATTATTCTGAACTTTTTTTATTTAGTCCTAGAACTAACCATATTTAGCTACTTGGTATATTATATGTGATATTTCATTTTAAGCTAATAGCTAGAACAACCAGAAAATAGAATCTAAATGATTTTTTTTTTGCTAAAACCCTAACATTTTTGGAGAATCCTCAACTTTGTGTACCCTATTTTGCTATATTTAGGGTAATTGTATATGTGATTTTTTTTTCCAGTCTGCCCTAAGTGGGCAAAACTTCGGAAAAACCACAGTGAGAAAAAATCAGTTGTGATGCTGGTTATTTGCAGCTCTGCCACCCGTGCCTTGGAACTCATCAGGTAAGAAGATTTACCTGTTTATAAATGTTTTCCGTGCCAAACAAGTGTGTGCTGTAATTGTGTCAATGAGTAAACCAGATAGAGTCCTCTGCCCTAGTGGACCTTATGTTATAGTTGGAGAGACAGACAGGGGAAAACAAACAACTAAGTAAGTATATATGCCAAGCAATGGCAAGTTATATAAAGAAAATAGGATAAAAGGGGGTAGGGCTATTTTATAAAAGGATAGTCATGGGACCTTCGCTAAGATAGAATTGAGCAGAGACTTGAACACAATGAAGGAGGGACCCAGCAGATACCTGGCACAAGATTGTTCCAGACAGAGAAGACAGTAGGTGCAAAAAGCACTGCAATAAGATGCCATTGGAGGATTCTGAGCAGAGTAGTCACATGATTGGAAATAATTATTTAAAAGGATCACTTTGGCAGCTATGTGGTGAGCACGGCATAGGAGGCAAAGGTCAAAGCCAGGGATCATACCACCAGTAGCACCGAGTTAGAAGAAAAACGGTTTCTTCGCATCTGATATGTGCCGAACTGATATAATCAGATTAAAATAGTTATTAGAAAAGATAAAATGGCAAGAAATAAACTTAACAGAATCTATGAAATAAACTTAGGAAAAGCAGGCATTATATGAGGGACAGAGAAGATCTTGAACATGCAGAAAGCCATTTGGTATTCAACATGGTAAGATGTCAGTTTTCCCTAGGATAATCTACAGATTTCCCAGAACTCCCAATAAAATTCTGTGGAGCTATTTTTCAAACTAGGTAGACCAATTTAAAATTCATATGGAAAAGAAAAAAGAATGGAAACAAGGAACACAGAGAAGAAGTAGAATAGTGATATTACATTGTGGGGATTGAAATCATTGAGATGAAAAGTGTATGATTTGTTGGATGTAAAACTGATTATCTGGTCTGAAATCTTCACGCATTTAACAATAAAAAGTTAAAAAGCAGAAATTTCATATGGAAAATTACATCAGAAAAAGGCCAGTGAAATTCTGAAAATGAATACGAATGAGAGGATAGTATCCCTACTATTGTCGTTGTTGTAAAGTGCTATCAAGTTCGAAGCATAGCAACCCTGTATGGGGTGGGTTTAAACTGCTAGCCTTTTTGTTCGCAGTCCAGTACTGATTTTACAGCGCCACACCAGGAGTCCAGTATCCCTTTTGTTGTTGTTGTTAAGTGCGGTCGAGTCGATTCCAACCCATAACGACCCTGTATAGGGTTTCCAAGGAGCAGCTTAGTGAGCTTGAACCACCTTCCTTGCAGATCAAATAGCTTTGCAGTCTGGCACATTAACCCACAGTGCCACACCAGGAAGATTCAAAATATTTCAGGTCCTAACACCATCGTTAAGGAGCTCTGGTAGCGTAGTGGTTACGAATCAGGCTGTGAACCCCAAGGTCAGCAGTTCGAAACTACCAGCTGTTCCACGGGAGAAAGATGAGACTTTCTGCTCCCGTACAGATTTATAGCCTCGGAAACCCTGTACAGGGTCGCTATGAGTCGGAACCGACTCCACGGCACATAACAAAAACAAACACCATAGAAACTCTTCTAGTAGCGTAGTGGCTACGAATCGGGCTGCAAACCGCCAGGTCAGCAGTTTGAAACTACCAGCTGTTCTGCGGGAGGAAGATGAGGCTTTCTGCTCCCTTAAAGATTTACAGCCTCGGAAACCCTGTACAGGGTCGCTATGGGTCAGAACCGACTCCACGGCACTAACAACAACAACACCATCGTTTACACTGACTTTTTGCATCAAGGACCACCCCAGGACTCATTGCAGATTCAAGCGCTAATGGCAAAGAGGCTGCACTAGAGGCGACTTCCTAAAAACAAGTTGTCAAATTGATTTCAGCTGACTGCTTCTTGGGGGCATAAAAGCACCGTGTTGCCACACTTCAAATACCAATTATCAGAACTGTTCTGTGATTTCAGTAATACTGCAATATATTTCAAGGTTAGGTGGTTTGCAAAAGGGGATTTCGGAGCAGGCATAATGAGCTCTATTCATAAACACGAGTTTTGAATAATTCTAACTTTTGTTAGAATTAAATATGTCCCCTAAATCGTCTTTCTAATTAAACTTTGCTTGGAGAAAGCTTAGTTGTGAGTGAAAACTTGAGTACCTTAAAACTTGTATAGCACAATTCACTAGTTTGCAAAGTCATATATTCTGACTGGTCAGTAATCCTGCTTAAAACATAATATATAAAGGATTTCCAAGCAATATTCTTACATAACATCTATCCCCAAACATCAGTTTAAAAGATGTTTGTTCATTTGTGTTTATGTCATCTCAAAACAACACTGAGGCGATGTCTAGAAATGCATCCCAAAAAGATCAGAAAGTCAGGGGGACCTGCTAGAATCATTGGTTAAGATCACTTCCATAGACTTTGATCAGTTGCAGAGGTGGCCCCAACTGTGGTCTTGTACTTTTCAGCAGCCAAGACAAGTTAGGAAACATCATCAGTAGCCAAATTTGTGATAGTCTCCCCTGAGAAGCACAGTTTTTCCCTCCATACCATACATAGTGGCAGCATTCTCAAGATCTCACCTGTAGTAAAACAATAGACAGCTGGTGTCCACTTGTAGAGCTTCCCTCCATGTGGGCTGAGGGCCTGCAGCCAAAGTTAACATCATCAAGATAATAGTATAAGGCACCAATCAGCATGATCTGGGCCCACTGAGCTGACATTCTGGATTAGTCTAGATAGATCCCGAATTTTGAATACCTAGAAACTGAATGGAATGCCTGTTGGCCAGAGGCTATAAATCAACAGCCCAAGGGCTAAGTTCACCCAGGTTTTTTGTGTCTAAAACAATGGAACAAGTTGTTTATATTAAAAATCAGATTTAAAAATTTTTTTAAAATCTAGATTTTCGGCTTCTCTGAAATTTAGGTCTTGTAACACTGGGCTTATAATCGCACATCATAATACTTGGCTAAACAGAGCATGAATCGGCTCACTCTCTCTCCCCTCCCCCCCAGTCCACACACCTCCCTCCTACACGTCCTCACACATTTATGCTACCCACCTGTGGGATTTCTCTGACCTGGGCAGTCTTGTTACAATGGTTTTCATTCCTCCTTTTTCTCCCTCCCTCCCTTCTTTTCTGGCAGAAGTCTTTCCATATATAAATTTTACAGAGAAGTACTCTATAAAGTAGATCAAAGTGAGGTCCTCTGACTGAAGAAGGGTACAGGACTTCCTTCTTCCAGTCAGCTCACCCCAGAGCACCGCACAGCCAACACACAGGCCTTCATAAATGCCCTCAGACGACAAGAGTTCAGGCAGACATCACACAACCAAATGTCTTATGCAAAGTTTGAAGATTAGCCTAAAAGGGGGGATTGTTGTTGTTGTTAAGTACCATGGAGTCAGTTCCGACTCATAGTGACCCTGCACACAGTTTCTGAGGCTGTAAATGTTTATGGGAGCAGAAACTCTCATCTTTCTCCCACATAATGGCTAGTAGTTTCGAACTGCTGACTTTGCGGTTAGCAGCCCGACTTGTAACCACTATGCTACCAGAGCTCCTTGAAAGAGGCAGTGGGGGGCCTGAAATGCCCAAATTCTGTATTAAAAGTGAAGGGTAAACGTGTCTGCTTTTGATCATCAAGGAAGTTAACCTCCTATATGAAAGTTCGATGTGTACCCATTATGTGCCCAGTTTCATTCCAGTGATGTGCTAACCTGAAAATCTCAAAATGCTTTTTGTGTATATGCTCATACAAACCAGACACCTGCACACATATACACACATGTTGTTGTTGTTAGGTGCCATCGAGTCTGTATCAACTCATAGTGACCTTATGCACAACAGAACGAAACACTGCCCGATCTTGGGCCAACCTCACAATTGGTGGTGGTGGTTAGGGGTCGCTGTGAGTGGGAACCAACTCCACAGCACATAACCTTGCAATTACAGGTATATAAATACTTTTTTTTTTTTTTTTTTAAATAAGCAAGATGTAATGCTTAAGTAGTCAATTTGCCTGGAGTGAGTGAGTTTTTTCAGTACTTTTCTATTCCTCTTCATTAGGTCAATGACAGCATTTAAAGGAGACAGCAAAGTTATGAAATTATTTGCAAAACACATAAAGGTAAGCAGGGGCCTAAGGTTCCTCAGAGTTACTGAGGGAACTCCTGGAATGATCCCTAAGGGCTACTCCCAGAACCCACATTTTTCTTTTCAATCTTTTCTCCTTATTCCTGTTGTTGTTGTGTTATGTGCCATGGAGTCGGTTCCGACTCATAGGGACCTTGTACAGGGTTTCTGAGACTGTAAATCTTTACGGAAGCAGAAAGCCTCATCTTTCTCCCGCTGAACAGCTGGTAGTTTCGAACTGCTGACCCTGAAGTTCGCAGCCCGATTCATAACCACTACTGTAGCAAGTCATTTATTTGGGGCCTTCTTTGTATAACACATTAATGATCATAATGATCCTCTTTGAATTTCCCAGTCTCCACATATTCACCTCTCCCCACAGCTGCCCTCAATCCTCTGAGATTCTTGTATAGAAGCTAAGATTTGATTCCAGAATTTTCAAAGGTTTTACCAGTTTCTGAAGGAGATGCTCTTCTGTTTCACTGTTAACTCTTTGCCCTAGGTGTTGACCCAAAGCAAGCCCCATTTGTTTTTCACTTATTAACTTTCAGATAAAATGTTCTAATTTGCCTGTAACTGCACATTCAAAGAATTCTTCCTTCTCTTCTTTCTGTTCCATCTTCAAATAGATCCAGGAGCAGATCAAGTTGCTGGAGAAACATGTGGTGTATCTGGGTGTTGGAACTCCAGGGAGAATTAAAGAACTTGTTAAACAAGGTATGAGAAGAGGCCGTAAGACTCCTTCCCAGAGTTTGCCTTCCCTGCATGTGAGTTTTAGGAAATGACATTTGTGGTTAATGAATCCAGACTTGTGAGGTAATTCAGGAGTTGGAAACTCAGCCTCTAAAGTCAGTCAGCAGGAATGACAAGGACCAAGGCAAAATACCCAAGCCATGGCCTCAGATGCATGGGAAAACTGGACAGTGAATAACGGAGATTGGAGAAGAATCAATGCTTTTGAATTGTGGTGTTAGTGAAGAATATTGACTATACCGTGCACTGCCAGAAGAATGAGCAAATCTTTATTGGAAGAAGTACAGCCAAAATGCCCCTTAGAAGTTGTCACATACTTTAAACATGTTGTCAGGAGGGATCAGTCCCTAGAAAATGATATCATGCTTGGTAAGGTAGAGGGTCAAAAAAATAGAGGAAGACCCCAACAAGGTAGATTGACATAATGACAGCAACAATGAACTCAGACATAAAAACAGTTGTGAGGATGACACAGGACCAGTCAGTGTTTCGTTCTGTCCTATATAAGGGTCACTATGAGTCAGGAATGACTCAATGATACCTAATAACAACAAAAGCAACAGGCAAACTGAAGTACATATGCCTACAGTGCTGTTTTTGTGTACTATTGTCAAGTGGCTTCTGATTTATAGCGGCCCTGCATAGGGTTTCTGAGGAGTAACTGGTGGGTTTGAACTGCCGACTTTGTGGTTTGCAGTCCAGTACTGATTCTACAGAGTCACACCAGGAATCCATATGCCTACATAAGTATATTTAAATTCCAATTGCTTTAAGCAGGTTAGTGCACCCATACAGACTTCGTTCTACCAATTTGTAACCTCTGGATTTTGCTTCTCTGCATGTGATCAGCATTTTCTTTGCTTCATTGAGTCTTGGTTCCCCCAAGACTCCCATTCTGGTTGAGGGCGGGTATATAAAACATGTTGGAACAAAAATGCAGTTCCTATGAATGAAATGTAGGTATGTGGGAATATTTCTCCAAAATGAATTTCCTTTGTAATACTTTAACCTTAAAGTCTTCCAGACAATATCCACCAGTGATTTTTATAGCTTAGTTGACTTATTCAAAGCCAGTAGCCACAAAACCTGCTAATCGGCTGATGACCTAATTACCTGTTCT